CATCATTCCCGACTGCAAAATTTGCAAAAAAATTTTGTAGCTTCTAAGAAACAAAAACATCAAAACAATGGCTGTTTGCTTTTTCGCTGAAGAGATAAAAAAGTAAATTAAATGAAAGAGTAAATAAAGTCATTTAGTTCCTCGTCATGACAATCATTTATCAAATTGCTCTTCTGAATTTGTAACACATTGTGAACGACATCATTGCGTTCTAACTCTTATTTCTAAAAAAGTGCACACAGTTATAAATTCTTCTCATTTTTGCATAGTCCACAACTATATATTAACAATAATATGAAATGTGTGAAATATTTGCGCTTAAAGAGTTTCAAATTGATAACATATGAAAAGAGTATTCCCTTTTAATTTTGTTTTGCTAAATTTTATTCCTGTTCGAGCATTTATCCTAATACCGAAATATTGAAATTTAATCAGTGACTTCTTGATAAATATAATCGATATTAAGCCAATGGAGAAAAAGTTCAGGAAGCGAGCATTTTGGATGTTTCAACAAATTATTTGCATTCAACAATTATAGCAAAGGGAGCGCACAAAATCATGTCCAACTTTCAAATACAAAAGTATTGACAAACACGGTTTCAAAAATTTAAAACAATTATTAATAACTCTGGATCAAAGATTTTTTACTGGCAATTTTTGAAAGCCATTAACATACACAACATAGATATGTAGACTTGCGAATTAAAATGATCTATGTGAATAAGCAAGAAGTGATAGCGAAAAGTATTATTTCAACTATTATTTCATACCATTGATTAGTGACTGTTTCCTCTTAATTCAATGTAGAAAAACTCTGCTTACCACTTTCTGCCATTCAAAATTCTTCTTGGTTTTAATTATCAACGAGCAATTTCATGAAAGTGTCATAACCGTTATATTATTTGGAAATAAAAGCAAACAATCAAAGACTTTTGTAAGGTTTACAAATAATTTCAAAAAAAAAAAAAATGATACAACGCATATGCAAGGTGAAAATAATATGTGAATAATTCTCTGATTTCATAAGCATTCCATCCAATTACAGATAAAACTAACTGCTGAAGAATTATGAATGCTTGTAAAACACCTCGGTTTATAAACGGAAGCACCTCTATATCTTCAAGTTATTAATTGTAATCTTAGAAATCTAAAAATCAGAAAAAGGTTTTTTGTATTTTGTTTATGTGTTAAGGACAAATGCAGCAAGGATATCTCGTGATTGCATCAAAGCCTTATCTATTACCATTCGATCTTTTGCTGTTGGATTACCAATTGGGCCAGCATTAAAGGATTTTGAATTTTTATTTAAAGAATTTGAGATAAGTTTCTAGTAGAAAATAATTATTTGTCGCCGTTGATTTATTGTCACCTAGTACTTTTTACTCCAGCCATTTGTATTCTTTTAATTCGTCAGATTTGGATTCTTTGTTAGTAATTAATAACAAATAACGTGAGAATAAATGCAAGTTCTAATATTTCTGGCAAAAGTTCATCTAAATTTTCATAATTTTCATAAAGACCTTATTTATTCCTCTTGACCGGAAAGGATTCCAAATTAGTATCTCCGTTATAAATATGCGTGTACGTTACCATCATTGTTAATGTTTTTTATCATATCGACATTTTGCTTTGTACTATACCGAAAAATGTTCTGAAATTTTGTGATCTGATAAATTCGGTATCTATTATTTCTTGCTTAACACAAAAATTTGAACTAAGGTAAACTGCATAGGCAAGTTCATTTTTGTAGACTTTTGAAAATCTTTATTTCTAAATCTATTAGACGATGACTGTGTTACTTTTCAAAGTTGCCAGCGTTTTCGTGAAATAGCAAGTAATTCACGTTTATTATTTGAACTAGAAGTGATTTTAGAATGCTCATTTGATCTTATAATACCGAAGCAATTTTCTGTTATCGAAGTTCGATCAAATTGATTTACAGTGCAAAATATCAATACAGATGTCAAAGTGTAAGCAATTTTTTTTCAAATTATTTTAACTAAAATTGTCCTCTTTCTGATATCCTAAAATAGCAATTCAAAATGGCATTTCATTTTACAATAATGATGTAATTGAAATGACCATCAAACGATATTCTACACTGGCACTGTTCAGTCTATTAACAGTTAATATGTTATTTTACACCAATTTTATTTCAAAGGAAATCAAATTTTTTTAGAACTTTCAAAGCTAATTTCAATTTCAATTACTTAAAATGTTCCCAGCGATAAGCAATTGGTGATACGGTGTTATCAGTCTATCATAGCCTTTCTATGCGGACAGTTGGATTACATGAAAACAAGTATTCAAGTTATGAAATTGCTTGATACTTTTTATGCAAAAAAACTAAAGTTAGCTTTCATGTAACACGTAATACAAGATTTTATTGTTCTCCATTTTTATGTTATTTGAAGTTTTTTTTTTTTTTAGTGGTCTAAGTATAAAGAGTAAGAGAAGTTAAGATTTTTCAGCTCCATTCAACAACCAAGGATACCGTCGGTCTATAGCAGAGGGTGTTTTTAGGTACATCGTTGGTGTCAATATAGATCTCGAGTACTTTGCTCTCTAAAGTTTTGTTTTTGGACTAATTTCCATTCATGATTTCACTTGTTAGCACACTCTATTCTGAAGACTCGAACCTAGAGGTCAAGCCAGCACACTTCAGAAGTTAATAAAAAGTAAATAAGAAAATTGATTTAAAAAGAATGGATCTTTTCTCATTCTGTTTTTAACCTCATATTCATTTTCTGTTTTTCGTTTTTTCCAAACTTATAAATATCTCAGGAAATAATAATATATTAACGTTATAAGATATTATAGCAATTTCTTCGACCACTCACTCCTACTTATGCTATTATTATCCATTAAATTAAAAAAGCTTTAAAACCCATCGAAAGTTCGAAAAGACTTTTAAACTTTTTAAGCGTACTTGGATAATAACGCTGATAATGGATATGATGCCTGTCTCTACTTTTCTATCATGATTTGAAATTCAACTTCTCTCGCAAAATTGCAAATGAACCAAATTCAATTAACTGAATAGTTTTTTAATTATAAAAAACTAATTGAGTCTCATTATTTCAAATTTACAGCTACAACACCAAATGATGATAAGTATAAAATATTTTGGATGAATATTTGTATATATCTGTATTAATAAAACAAATAATACGATGAATATTTTGAACATATTTTCATCAATAAAACCTATAACACACATGAACAAATTCAATAAATCAGGCTATTTATTGCCAGTCTAGGACAATCAACGTTATTGATCATCGGTATTGTTCTGATTAGTGCTTTTCGGCTGATTCTACTAATTTGAACCCGAAATTGGTGCTCCGACAAAATACAAGCCTGGAAATTTTTACCGAATTTTGATAATAGAAATTGATTTTTTATGCAATGTGATTCAGATGGAATGTGTATCAATATTCTGTTGTGGTGAAAAATAACAAAAAAATTCGGTTAATTTAGCTAATTAAAAAGTCATTAAAAATTAACTATGCGGAATATGGCAGCACTCTTTGAGGTTAAAAGCAGCAAAGACTTCAAGAACAAAACTTTTCCAATAGATGCAGCACAGGGAATTTCTTCCAATACAGAAAACTGTTAAGCGCTGAAGCTAAGTGCTCACCAAAGTATTGGATAACACATAAATCAATCTATCAGTCTATGCTGAAAGCCAGAGATATTCAATATTATGCGTCTATGAGAGATTACAGTATGCAAACCACAACCACGAAAAGTAATAATAGAAATTAATCAGGTGACCTGAGCAAATTGTAAGTTCAATGCAAACTAAACCAAAGTTATTACATATGTTTTAGAATTATCGTAACGAAATAAAAAAATAATAAAACTGATCGTATGAAGATTAGCTGGAATTATATGAAATCAAAGAATATCAACAAAATGAAGTGTTTTTAATATGAAATAAAAAAGTAAGTAATGACAAGTCGGACGCTTCAAATAATCGTAGACAGAAAGATAACAAGGACAAAGTTCACATTCTGAAAACACATTCAGTTACTTTGTAAGTTAAATTTTCATAGCTACACTATGAAAGCGAAAGATTTTGGTAAACGGAAATTGAAGGCTTAGCTATCGTCGAGAATCATACGTGATAAACGTCAATAAAGCGGTGATCAAATGACTAACATGTAAGATGGATTCGATGCATAGAAGAACGATAAAAGATAATTACGATTAAAAAGAAACGCATCTGAGACAACAACGGGAATTACTCATCTTCTGCATCGTACGTCTCAAGGAATTAGTGCGGAGCTCTCTTCACCGGAGCAGTCTTATTTTTCGTACACAAAATCCGGCGGTCACTTTACACTCTATTGTGAAAGTTGTAACGGAGACACTGAATACGGCCAATTTGCTAACAATTTTAATTGAGATTCGTGTATTACGAGATTTTGCAAATCATGCAGAACTTAGATTTTATTTTAGGAAATTTACAGTATCTTGAAACTTGCATTTCCGTTACAAGGATCTATTCTTCCTACTAAATAAAAGACATAATGCAATAACCACTAAGTCATCCCGAAGACACCACTGGGGTCACAGAAACGCAAAAGATAGAGAAAGTATCGTATCGCACGCATGCGAAAGAACCTCTTTGTCCTGTCACTTCTCATTCTTCTTCATAATTACGCAGAATGTTAGGAGGTAGATCAGTTCAGTAGGTTTTACTGTCACACAACCGTTACTTGTTTTTTTCTTTGTGTTATATGTGGGAGTTCAACTTAACTCAATTGATGTCAATAGATGTTACCTACCTATTCTTATCACACCTGACCTTTTCTAACACTCATAATTAACTATTCATTTCTTTTTATAAATCCTTTCTGATAAATAAGTAAATGGAAATGACGAGAATTATAGTTTTCGTTAGGAACTGATTGGGAATCTTATCACTTCAGCTCTATTTATTCAAGTGCTACGTTCATTTATGGCCAACAAATGAAGTTTTTTTAGGTGGGGGTATGTCGAGAAGGAATTTATTGGACAAACTATCTTTCCAGGATATCGACAAAAGTTAGTTCTTTTGTTTCATCTTTTCTGTTCTGCGGTTCCTCTCTTTGCGTACTGTTTTATATTATTTTTTATTTATTATTTTCAATAAATTTTTTTATTATATTTTCAACTTTTTATTCAGATTCTACTCGACTTGATTTACTAATGGTCATATTTAATTTGATTTGCTAATGACTACATTTAAATATTGTTTGGGAAGACGGTACGGTAGTATTCCCATTATGAAAATTATTTCAGTATTAAAAGAAACAAGGAAAAAGCCTGTGTCAGAAAGAACGAATAAAGAAAAAATGGTCCAAGGTTAATGTGGTTGATATTCCTTCTCTTTACTTCACTATTTTATTTTCTTACTCAGACAAGAAGCACTTTTCATCATAATATCAGTTGTTCAGCTAATTCAGGTATTTTTATACATAACTTGTCATAAAAGTAGTCATTTTCAGAATTCTGAACTCATCAGTCTTTAAATGAGCACTATAGTACTTCAAAAAGAATATCTTTAGTGCGACTTCAGATGAAAACTAAAAATAATGTAGGCTCATTTGGCACGAATAGCGTTAAATGCCAAAGCATTATCGAAATTGGATCACGATCAGTGTCAATTGCAAGATATGACAATGTAAAACGTTATGAGAACAATGAGTTAGTAGAGACTGCTGATCACAGTATGTTTGGAAATGATTCAAAACTAAATGAACGACCACCTCAGCGCATGTGTTTTGAATGGTCTAGTGAGCAAAATTCCAGTAATAAAATTTGGGAAAATGTATTATCTATAAAAAAACAAAAGTCAGGTCACCAACCACTTGGCATACAAAAGACCAAGGTAATTTTAACTATCAATAATGTTCTTTGTCTTAACAAGATTACATTATTTTTAAACAGTAGAAACTACTGATCACAGTGAAGTTATAAAATACTAAATATAATCATTTTAGCAAAAGGTACAGCGCAGTTGGACTAAATATAAATTCAGTGCTAGGAAAGATAAGGTAGAAGAATAACAAACAGATTTCACTAAAAAATGAAACTAAGAAATTGGTTTTTCAGCCGACTAGTTTTATATTTAAAGTTCCATTTTTGCCTGTTTTAAATATAACGCTGAAGAATTACAAATGCAGGAAATATAGGTTCAGGTATTTATGAATGAAGGAATTGCTATAACGTAGGGACTGCACTGTTTCTTAGATATTTTAATTTCTCATTAATTTATGCTGTTCTGTTTTCCAATTCCATTGCATGATATAGCAAGTATTATTCGGTATCATTATTATGTTTCACTTTATATTACTTTATGAAAGATGGCAGTTCAGAAACTTTCGCAACATTCATACGTTTTTAGGAGAGGACTGTGCTGGACTCTTTCTCCACAATGAAAAGTGACGATGAATGTTTAGGATCTCCAGTTGAAGGTTAGATACGTCCTGTACCGTTTTTGAGAAAAATTTAAACAGCAATTAAAATAGAATTTGGTTTTTGTAATCATTAAATATTCTTATCATATTTTATTTTGTACTATGCTTTTATGCTTATTTTTTAGGAAAATCAGGATCTCTTTGTTCAAAGAAGCTTTCAAAAAAAGTTCACCTCGCCGTTGTTTTGGACAAATGGATAGATAGAAGATGCGAATCATGCAATGCTCGATTAACATCGTTCAATCTAATCAAGAAACGGACACGTTGGTGCTCCAAAACTTGCAGAGCACTAATGCATTTACAAGACAAATCGAGCACAACAGAAAAAGGTTATATTTGTTTTTGTTTCAAAATTATTAACATATATTCTTCATATTACTTCACTCTATAATTCAAAAACCATACTGTGATTGTTACCATGCAACAAAAATATCATTTGACTAAAAAGAATGCATCTTCTGCAGCTGTAAGTCGATAAAATTAAATATGTGCCTAGCCTCTTGTTTTCCTTTTACTGTATAAACTTCTATTTATTTATGAAAATGATTGTTTAAATGGACTACACGTTACATTCCATAATTTTGGAGTTCTATCATCTATAGAGACCTTTTATAAAGAATTATTTTTTTTTTTTAAACTATTAGCTTATTATTTGCGCAGTCGATCCTAGGTCTGTAGAAGACGCTCAAAATTTTACGAGCTCTTATATTGCAGAATCATAAGAAAGAAATTTAATAAAGTTTTCGAAAAAATGGGTCGGATTTCAATAGAATAGATGATATGAGTAAATATTGCTCTGGTGGAATTTTTAAGGAGTTTTTCTTATGTCCGCAAAAAGTTCGAAAATAATAATTTAGCAAGGGAAATCAATTATTTCATCTACTCAGCAGTAGTTTTAAGAGGCCTATGAAGGAAGCAGACGGAGATGTAGAAGTCGTAGATATTTGTACAGTGAAAGAATATAAGTTAGTAATTTTGTTTTTAAAATTTTGTTTACAGCATATTACAAAGCTATCTTTCTTCATTTTTTAAAATCGTTTTAGAAACCAATCTTTCGAAAGTTTAAATTTATAATTTCCGGTATTTTATTTCTATATTAATACAATGTATTCTGCATGCATTCAGTCAACAATATGCAAAGTTTGCGAGCTACTCTGACAACAAAGCCTTTTCTTGCTTTGTGATTTTGTAAAGAATAAGAAAGAAAAAATAAAATAATAAATTTAAACTTTCGGGAGATCCGTTTCCAAAAAATAATGATGAAACCGAAAGTGAAGCTTGTGAGTACAAGAGAATCTGTTGCGTAATAAATTTTCTTATCTTTTCATTAATTTTAATAAAGTTATTTCATAATTATTATGTTGTTTCAGGATACATTATTTGCAAATATATAATATAGTGGGTAGTACGGAATAATCTTACCATAAACTGTAAATTAAATGATTTTTAGATTCAGTGGACAAACGTCATTTTCGTACGAAAAATCCATCTAACGTTCTGGATGAAACAAATTACAGTATGATTTTTTGATTTATTTTTGATTGGCCTATTTTATGTCTTATGAATTTATAATTTCTTGATCTGCAAATTTTACTTTACCCTAATAAAGTAAAACACTTTACAGATTAAGATAAGTTTTCTCGCAGTAAAAAAATGAAGTTTCAGTCAACAATGGAAACTAAAACAAGTTTAAACAATTTGATTTTATTTAGTTTTACCTAGCTGAACTGCTTTTATAAAAAAGGAAAAACTGAGAACGGTGGATAATGCAAGAATATTTCAGCATACTTTATAAATCGTTCGCAATAAATTCTTTGTGCTTTTGTTAGCCTTAGCTCTTTAAATTGTTATGTATTTAAAAGAATTTTTTGGCACAATTTCTCGCTAGAAATTCTTTTTAACTTCTTTTTTTAAAACATCCAAAGGAATGATAAATACAGAAACGAAGCAGTGTTATGGAGTTTCTGAAATGTAATTAATAATTTAGCAGTCTCAATGTTCGCCATGTCATGGTGCAGTTCTGAAGAAGTTTTATTAAGTGATAAAAATATTGAACGCGGAATTCCGGCAGAGGAATTAATGGATGAAGCAAATATGCTTGAGCAAGGTTTCTCTTTGGATATAAAGCATGACTTCTGTACCGAACAGAGAAATGAATGAAATTGCGCATTAAACAGAAAGAAAACTGTACTTACTTTTAAAACATGGAGTTTCAAAGTTTGACTTTATTCTGTAGAATTATAACATAAAGTGTAAATTTATTGTTTTATCTTTTCAGTTGACAGTATGCTGCCTGCGCCAACTGACTATATTCTATCGTGGTGTGGAACAAAACTTTCGAATATTTCTCAGGTAACACTAATTGAAATATTCAAGCAAGAAATTTCTTCTCCACTGAAATTCATTGGTAGAAGAATTGAACTACTACTTATCCATATACTTTGTAGAGTTCATCTAGCACAACAATAAGCAGAAAATGTTTGTATAGAACTTCTTTTTCCTTTTTGAATATCCCAAAGGAAAAGGAAGTTCTGTACTAAATTGCTAAACAACAGATTTTTTGTCTAATCGTAGAGCATATTTTGCATTAAGCATATCTATGTATTTAATCTTCCAGATTTACGGCCAGAATTTTTATTTAGTTTATGAAAAGTATTATTATTATTGCATGTTATTATTATTAATAATTATTGCATGGCTAAAGCTAAATATTTATAAAAAATTTAAAGGTCATGGTGTGATAAATCAATTTTCCCTTCATGAAACGTCTGTGTTGTGCATCTGAAGTTCTAAACGCAAACAAGTAATACTGTCTAATTATATACTGTTTTAAAATGATTTATTCACCACATTGCAGGTACCACACTGATGCGTGTGTGTCGCTGATGCAAATCAACCAAAAATATCCTTCATTTATTTCCATTTTGTGAATAGCATCTACTTTTGACATAAGTATTTTAAATATTCTTTTTTCATTTATATATACATTCTTTGGTAATTTTCCTTATTATCATCTGTCTTAAAAGATGCTGAAAAGAAAAAGAAAATTATTGCATAAGGTAATGAAGTAAAGAATTTGGTATCTAGAATTATATTTCTTTGGTATAAACTTCGCTATAATAATATAAAAATCGTATCGAAATATAACGAATGATTTCTATTCTTATTCATTTTTCTTTTGCCTGTGACTGCATCAATGTTGTCTGCGCCAATTAACTGTATCTTTGAGTGAATATTTTGTTTTAGTTTATAAAATATTTTAAAGTGCACAATTTCTTGAATTTTTCCTGCTCAATGACAATTACAAAACATTTTGAATGGTTCTTTGTCCAACGACAACGAAATAGACTTGAAATGAATTTTTTTCGACAGGATCAAACAAAATTCTTAAATCGAACTTCAGTTTCTCTGAATGTTTTCCAGAAATCTGATACAAAGCGACAGACAAATTAGACCTTTCGGAGGGGTAAAGTTTGCGAACCAAAAAAGGTACAAACAATATTAGTGCTTTCTAGTAAAATAGAATTGTTATTACTAATTTCGTCATTATTAAAAAGAACATTCTTTTTTCATTTTAGTTCCTAGTTAGCAACAGCATCTTAGATTGCGGAAGTGTATCTTAGTTTGAAAAAATTAGAAATAGAATTCAGGAAGTGATTGCCATTTACAAGTTACAATTTTTGAAGACGAGAAAGAGCCAAATCTGGATTATTTAAAATGTCACAATAATACAAAAATGCGTTGGGCGTATGATTCTTCTTGCTTTTCCTTCATATTTATTTTGTTTACAAACCTAAAATTTCAATAGAAGTTGAAATTTCTTAAAAGCAATTTGTCAAGTCTTTTTTTGAAGAATTGATTTTAATAAAAAATGTTTATGTGCCCTTAGCTTAGCGATACTCGTGAATGTTGAAGCATTTTCTAGCACGTATTTGTTATCTCGAAAATAGTATTACTATTTAGAGAATTGTGACTCGTTGTTGGCATAAATTATCGGAAGCATTTCTTTTCTGAAATGCTATGAGTGAACTGAAGAGAGTGTATTTTTGTTGTACAATATTATAATCTTCTTGTTATAATACTTTCCTCTCTCATATCAACGTTGAAACTATGATGCTGATGCTTCAGTAATCTTCCCTCCTTTAATTCTTTGTAACATCCTTTGTGTTTTTTCTTGTAAGATCATAATGATATGCTAAATTGGAATTCTGTTTTTCAACTATAATGAGATGGATATATTCTGTAATCAAAAGAAAATCCACTATAGAAATTAATTTTTAATACTAGCAATGCGGCTGAAAAATCTACTTCAAACTTACTCTTAATGAGATAAATCGTTTATATGAATTCATTTTCTAGCTTTATAATAGGTAAGTTTTAGAAACGGGTCCTCCTTGCTGTTTACAGAACTCTTAAATTTTCGACAATGTCTGAAAATAATTTTTCCACATCTCGAATTTTACATTCCTATCACTGTTAAAGTGGCAAATGTTTTATCAACTGATGCGAAAGAAGATGACAGTTATGAGGATCATAAAAGATAAGCTCGATTTGAGGGGACGTGTCGAAGAATGAGAGTTACATCCATCTGTGTAACAGCAGTAGATCGTTTGCGAATCGTTTACAGTGTTGTAGAATGTCGATGTTGTGGAGGAACTGATCTCTCCAGTCTGCTCATGAATTTTAAGCTTTATATTACTCTCAACTTCTAAAAAGAAATCAGAAATCTTTAGTTAGATAAAATGAAGATTACATATAGGTGTATTTAGAATGTAAGAACTACATTCATCTGTATTTTAATCTGGTCAACTGCTTAAAAAGGAATACTTGGAAATGATATATGGTCATAGAAAGTGGAATGTTAATGTAAATGCAAACTTCTAGTCTTAAGATTGTGGGAAGGATGGATGAAATAGTACACCGTCAATATGAATGTAACAACCTTTGTAATGCACTTTCTTGTTGAGCAGTAGAACGAGGAGAAATTGTTTACCCAACTGATTGTTGTCATGCAGGACACTACAGTTGGGTGACATTCCTGGAGTGGAACGTCAACACTATTGTTATTTGGTGTGGGTCCACTCTATAAACTAATTCAGTGGAGTTTATAAAAAAGGAAAATAAATTTAACGAGGAAAAATAAAAAAGGAAACTTACAACGTAGCATCGCAAAGCTGTGGTCTGTGAGAATATTGCATAGAAGAATAGAACTGAAGAGCGTAGCAAGCAATGTTGAACGCAGAACACGTATTTTGCATTTAAGCGCATAATGTGAGCTCCTCAAAGTATGGTACAAAGAGTGTTATAATTTGTCAGTGTCTTCATTTCCAGACAAATCCTAGGAAAGAACAAAAATCACCGAATTGTAGCTATAATTCTGCTCTTAGATGGTCAAAACAAGTAAGAATAAATTTGAAATTACTTTAGAATATCATTTATCTTTTTTTTGAAAATTTATCTCAAAATAAAGTCATTTAAGATTGACCATTCAATAAAGCATAAACAGGAAGAATTGCAAAGCAAAATGTTCCTTATGATTTTGGTAAGAATTATCAAAGCATTTAATCAAACAATTCTAATTTTATTCAACGATGAGAATAAGTGCTAAAAATATTGAAAAAATAATGATAACAGTAGGAGTATCCCTCACTTACTTCTCTTCTCTCTAAACTTCATTTGCAAAACAACGTTGTGAAGGGCAACAACACTCTTAGCTGCTACGCAACGCCAACATAAGTAATATCTTAAATTAATCTTTCATTTTTAGAACAAATCCTTTCAATTATCGTTTATTGTAGATGATGAGGAAATGCTATGAGTCCTTGCATAGATTTCAAATTCTTATTCATATTTACAATCAACTTTTTCAACAAATTTTCAATATGCATCCAGGTTGGTTTCATGCTTCTCAATTTATTAGTTTTTCTAAACTCATTTATCTTTGCAAAATACTTTCTTTTTCTCTTCCAGTAATTTCAATGACAAGGCCATATTTTATTCTTCTACATTTTCAGTTCACAATTTGATAAAAAATTGAGAAACTAAGGCAAGTTTTGTTGCGGCAGTTCTAAATGCAGTCAAAATTTCTCTTTCAACTATCAATTCAATCACAAAAGCATAAATCACAAAGTCACAAAATAAACATAATTTCATTTCAATAAAACTACACACAAAACGAATAAAACATAGAAATAAAGAATGGTTGTAATGTGAACATGAAAATGCCTTTATATACAAACATACGACAAATGATTAATAAAAATTCCATTCAGAGGGTAAAATTTGAAACAGAGTTTTCATTAACTAAAAATTACCATTATTCTCAAATTTACAATAACTCCGAAAAAATTGCTATAGATGAATTTTGGTGCATTGATGCAAGTAATAACATGGGCTATCAATAATTTCGATCATATTCTAAATTTCTTAAATACAAACAGGAATTTATTAAAAATAACTTTTATTTGAAAATAAATTACCAGGTACTCGGTGACATTTGTCATAACATTGGATGACTTGTTGATTAGAATATTCAAGTCAGAAAATTTACCAATAACTAATGAATAAACAATTATTTCAGCAAATGTTAATTATTATTCCAGATATTCAGCACTTTTTAAGTGTATATGAATGTGGCATATGTTCAATAACTTTAAAATTTATGAATTCTTGAGCACCTTAGCAAACAAATGAAGATTATCATACATTGCTATTTTGCTTAATATTTATCACAAGCTTCACAATAGTTAGAAATGATCTTACACTTGAGTATCGGATGACTGTTGTTGCTGTTGCTGACCAGTAGGTTGTATTTGCTTGCAGTACTGCAGCAAAATCCTTTGGTAATACTCACGTGGCGTGAGTGTCCTTGCTGTACTGCACTTACTCGTATTCAAATCCAGTGATTCCATACTTGCTAACACACGTTCTGATACAAACGAGAGCGTACGCGGGTGCTCAATCCATTTGAAATAATAAATATCAGGTGGTACATAAGGACGACCATCTGAAATTGTTCAGAGATAATCAGTGATCAAAGTCATCATAATCTAATGAAACTGAAATATTGTCAAAAATTGAAGGAATTATTTGTTAAAATTAAAACAGCAGCTGTAACAAATGCGCCATGCTTAATGTTTTCTTGCGCATTTCAATCCAGTACAAATGGCAATTATGAGAAGTTTTATCTTAGCACTACATAATCAGTAGGTTAAACTTCAGAAAGATGAAAAGAACTGGATATGATGATTGTTTTATTATCTTTTCTTTAAACAAACTTTAAAAAAAAATAACCAATCCAATTTAAATCAGGTTGCCTGCCGTTAATTAAGCATTCAAGCAAATATTCTTCCGGTAATTGAGCTAGCTTATTAATCTGTTCCGCAGTAAGGCCATATTTCTTCTGGAGAAACGCTACATAACCAAATACCTAAAAGCAACCTCTAATTCATTTTTTTTTTTCATTTTCATATCAATTATACAAATAAGGCAACATTAAAAAAGACTCGGCTTCTCAAAATTTTTTATTGTCCTCACTCGATTATGATTAGATGCGACAAATGCTACGATTTAACAATAATAAATCAAATCAAAATTAATGTAATTAATCCAATTTGAGAAGATATTTTGCCTTAATTTACAACGTGATAAAACATTGCACCAAAATAGTCAATTTGATATAAGCTATGTGACAATATTACTAATTTCATTATGCAGTCACAATTACAGTGAAAGATCAAAATTATTTGATCCAAACCATTCAAATCCATTTATCAAATGAATTTGTTTAGATTTTAAATGATAAGTTAATGAAAAGTTAGGAAAAATAAAGAACTGCGAGAAGAACTGACTTCCCCAAGATGCACAACT